TCACTGCAGATCGTGGGTCGGTCAGAGAGCAGAACCAGCAGAAATAGCTTGAACAATCTGAAAGCACATGCAATTAAAAAAGTTGTTTCTTAATCCACGATCCTCCGGCTTGTGAAAATGCAACACGTTTTTGCACGTTAAGCCAGCGTCCCTCTGGGCTCTCTGGTGGCACCCCGAGACCTATGGGTTCACTTTTTTGCACGTCCTCACGCTGCAACTCTGAACATTCGGAGTGAGCCTCGAGTCACAAAACTCAAACTCTTCAGTAGTAGCTGACAAGAGAGCTGAAACATTCACCGTGCTAATCATCTGTATTAATCTACCCCAGTGAACCATTTCAGCTGTTCGTAGCTGTGACTCAGTGTGCTTTATGTTTACTAAACTGCACGTACAGCCTTTTAGAATAATCTGTTTAAAATCACAGAGTAAGTCCCACGGGTAAAAGGGCGGGGAGGAAGAGGGAGATGTCAGTATCCTACAAACTACGGCATCATTTGTTTTGACAGCTTTTAATATTCCATATTAATCCTTTCACGTGCTGATCTCCACTGTGCCTCTGTGTCACCTTCTAGCTGAGGCCATCACACCCCGCTCGCCAGCTTTTTAAAAGACGTATTTGGGACACGGCTCAGAACTTGACCACGTTTTCCCCAAATTGCCGGGGACACAGCATCAGATTCATTACACGGGTATCCATAATCAGAAATAGATGGTGTGGAACACCAGATAATAATTTATCCGTGGTTTTTTTTCTTACATCTGGATCATTTTAGCCAGAAGGTAATTAAGCCTGGAGCTCTGTATGACTGTTCTCCTCAAATCCGGGCTCTCAGTCCTGACCCGAGGAGGGGATAAACTCGAGACCAGCAGTGACAGGCAGACCTGGAAGCATAAGCACTTGTCAAATCCCTACAACCAGCACTAGGTTAAGAACAGTCTTTCACTCTCAAAATACATTTAATTAAGGCCCTCAAAATACCTTTATTTAAGCACCTCAAACCGAGTCCAAAGAAATCAAAATGACAACTATACTGAAGGCACTCTCCTAACAGTCTCGCTTAAAATATCAGATTGAATGGAAGTGGAAATGTTCCCCACCGAAGGTCAAACGTGGCTTGGTCTACTATAGATTATGCCAGTGGTTGCTTATTATGCTTTTAAGTTTTATGCAATGCGGCACCTTTCAGAATTTCTTGAATCTAGCGGCATAATAGAGGCACTTCATGTTAGGCTTGGCCAAGGTCTCTGCACTGTCACTCACGCTACTCCTCTGAAGTACTTAATTCTGTGAAAGAAGTTCAGTGAAATTCATGCAATTTCTGTGAAACATCGGATTTTAAGCCACACATGGCTTTCCATTTAAGGCAGTTTGCAATAAGAGACATTCTAGCAGCTTGCTAGATTGACCACATTTGGATGTGTTACAAAGGCAGGCTCAGAATGAGCAGCTGCTGCTGAAAAATGTGGTGTGAGCAGCATCTCTTCTTGTGTTTCTTTTTTTTTTTTTTTTGTTCCTGATCTATAAAGTGTGAGTAACAGATTTTTGGCTTTTACCTGGAGAGTGCATTCCACTGTAAGTGGATGGAAATATTTAAAAGTTTCACGCAATACAGTTGAAACCCAGGAAGCTGCAAACGGTTCGTGACAGCAGTAACAGGAATTTTGGGAAATACCCTGCCCAAAGAACTTGAGTTCAGATGAAGGCCCAGCAGACGTATTTGACTAGGATCTGGATGTAGACCACGTCCCATAAAGCCTTACTGCTAAACCAGAAATTACTCCAGTTAGACTGGAAATCTGTATCTGGATTTCTCTTCTTCAAGAAGTATCTTTGGGAAGAAAGGGAGGAAAACATTTCACAACTGCCAAACGCTCGCAAGATCTATTATTGACAAACCCAGCGCTTGTGTTTGCTAACTTGAGAATGTTTACTTTGAATTTTTTGCTCGCAGGATTGGCCCCACGCTGCGCCCAAGCCACGGGCTGACGGTCCCCGCAGAGCAGGAGGCGACACGTGTCCTCTCGGGCCGTCCCCAGCGCTCCCGTCGGGAACGGCAGCGCCACCAGTTCAGGTCACTTCTGATAAAACTCAGAGAGGGAAGGCGGCCGGGAGGGAGGGAAGGGGAACAGGAGGACAGGCTGGCTTTTCCACTTCTCCAAACACTATGCTGTTTTTTTTTTTCAGAGAATCGTGCCCTGCTTTTGTCAACCTAATATACGGTATTGAAAGAAAAACACCCTGCCTGTAAAATGTGACATTTTAGAATCATTTTGGTATTAAGTGCTAAGCTTGTAAAACCTCCCCAAACACATGCTTGCAGCATGAAAGGCCTAAACTGGATTCAACCCATTTTAAATGGAAACATTGGGGTGTCTGGAATATGCTCTAAGGGCATTGGCAAGCTGGAGCCAAAGCCTTGCTCTGAACGCCTGGAACCTGGAGCCTTTGAGGTCCAACGTAAAGATGTCTGTTTAAGAAATTTTTGAAGAGTGTGAATGTGTGTGCATTTCATATGCACAGATGTTTCATTTCCTCTTGGAAAGGTATATTTATGACAGCAGGATATTTATACTAGAATATCTACATTAAAAAGCATGGCTCTTTTAAAAGTAAATCTAACTACTGAAGTATTTAGTACCAAAGAATGGCCACCGATCATGGCTCCTAGGAAACAACAAAACCCAGGTCTAACCTTGGGCCAGATCCTACTCTGCTGGTTGATGAGAGGCTGTTTGTCACTGCCCTTTGACAGGCACCGTACCGAACACAAAATCAAAAGACCTGTCAAATCAACAACCTGCTAGATTTTGGAGGGGTTGGGTTGGTTTGTTTTTTTTTTTTGTACATTCTGAATTCCTAAAATGATTAAGTGCCTGAACGCACAACAAAGTCAATCAATGATACCTTCAGACGTGAAAGTATATTCCACAGGGACGGACGTATTTAGATGTTTTTTTGAAGTCTACTGTTTAAAAAATTTCAATCTTTATAATATTTTGATAATTTTATCTTTATAATATAATTGTCTTTATAATATAATCTTTATACATATTTTTCCAGTGAACTGAATTAATGTAAGGACCTGGCATGTTTTATTACTAACTCTAAATAATTAACAGTTGTTTCCTTTCTGTCAAAAAAGTATTGCGATTATACAATACTTAAGGCTGTCGTTTACAGACACTTCTTACAGAGAAAACAATATTACAATAAAATGTTTAATTAACTATTAGCGTAACATTCTCTACCAGTTGCACAATGACATTATGCTTACATTAATAAGCATACCACGCTTAACTATAGAAATCTTTTTTAGTCAATCGGGAGATGAAAAGATACCGGTAATAAAACCAGAGCATTTCTGGGTGATTTGAACACTGAGAACAGTCAATACGCTCATTGTTCAGTACCACCATTTGGGAAAGGGTGAGTCTAAACCGTATCCCAGAATGGATGCAATTCCATAACTGAATAGAGGGGAAAGTGCATTAGTAAGCGTTTACTCCCTCTTTTAATTCTACCTGGATGATACATTGATTTTAAAAGCTCTTAAAAGTTTTAAACTTTATAACTGTCAAGGTAACTGTCGTGGGTAAAATATCTACCCCTACAGAGGACAACTGGCATATTCAAATTCTGTCCATCCAGGCCAGTGCTTTGTCCTCTGCCTGTGCCCCCACAAACCAGAACCAAACACAGCTCCCACCAAGACTAATAATTCGCAACGGTCAGCGGGAATTCCTGCCCAACTACGGACCGAAGGGTTTGGCCTCTGACAATCAAGACACGAAGTTCGTAATACTTTTGAAAAAACACAACAAGAAAGCCACTTACACTCGGGACTCAGATCCTGCAGGAGGGCAAAGTTTTGAACATTGGGACAGGCTGTCGGCTCCGGGGATCGTGCGGTGAGTTACCCTGGGAAGGTCTCCGCAGGGATCCTCGGACGCAGCCTCTCACACTCCCATGGCCAGCTGCGTCCGGGCCACAACCCCGCGGCACTGAGCTCAGCCTCGGGGGAGGAAGGAGAAACTTATATATAGCTGCTGTGGGGACGAGCTGATGGGTGCTTTCGGGAGTCCGTTACAGCTCCCACTGGCTGGAAAATGCTGATGACATGGAAGTTGAAGGGGATCAAATCAGTGGGACAATGAAGAACCCTATTCATCACTAAGGCATGCACAAACTCTGCCCCACGACCTAAAAACAAAAAAAACACAACACCTCGGCCTGCCAGAAGTTTGGTTTGGGTGCTTTTGTTTGTTTTGGTTTGTTTTTTTAACTCAGATCAAGCACACATTTCTCAAACTCATATGGAACTGATTCAGTACGCTGAAGACTGCGATGTCAAAATCTCACCCACAGCAACCAATATCATTCGATGCAGAAAACAAAAGAAACACAGATTTTATCAACTCTGATATTAGCAATGGCAAAGTCTCATTGTCTTCGCAGAGGCCTTAAGCAATCCAACCCGATTGGGAGCGGAGTAAAGCAATACAGGGCTTTCAGGGCTTGACCTGTGCTTAAAGAGCAGAGTGAACATGGGGACACGACGAGAGAACGCCACCAGGAAGATCTTTTCATTGCCACCTTGGGTTGGCAGTTGCCTGGATCATTCAGAAAGAAACCATCCACCACAGAGAAGCCCTCTTAAACGACCTATGTCTGTTTTGATGGTTTTATCCTACGTAGCAGAGCGCGGTGTCATCAGTGAAATGACAACCTCAACAACAAAAAAAACCCCAAACCAACAGTGGTTTGGCTCCTCGACTGTTCCTCAAAAACGCATTGCTGCTGCTGATTACAACATACCTGCTTATCTTGTCAAAGGAAAGGTACTCCCTCCACCTGGGTGAGGATGGCATCTATATACATATCCTTAGATTTTCAGCCTGTGGTCCCTTTGGAGCCTCCGTCCAGCGGCCAGAGCCATTGGTGACACCGGGCAAGGAAACCTGCACAACCCAGAGCTGCCTTCAGCAGCAAAGGGCAGGACGGCAGATCCAGGAGGGAGGTATCTCCCCGGCCACGCTCGCGAAGAGCCGTCTCGGCTGGCCCCAGAGAGCCCAGCCCGTCTCAGAACTACAGGAGGAGGGCGTGAGCGCGGGCGGGGGGTCCCGGTGGCACCGCAGCCGCTCGCCCCACGGCCGGCAGCTGGGCCCCGGGGAGTGACAGGCTCCTGATGGCAGCAGCACGTGTAGCATCTTCATGTGACATCCACAGGTGGGGCGGAGGGGAAAACAGTTTTTATCCGTTGCTATGGAGTCATGATTAGCTTGTATGTCTTCAGAGCCTGCCGAGGAGAAATGAAGGCTATTTTCTTATATAGATGTCATGAAATCAATCCTTGCAGAATTTCTGGAGTCAAAGGCTAAACAGGTTTGCCTGAATACCTTCTGTTACTTGATACACAAATAAATCTAGCGGGGAGACCTAAAATGAGAGCCATTTTTCAGCTGAAGCCCATCACAAAAAAATTACTCTTTAGTCTCATTTGGAGTTGTTTATGTGCACAGTAACATAACAAAAGGGTGTTAAAAAAACAGGCAGCAATTATCTTCACAGAAAAGGAGTCTTAGAAAATTAAGCAACCTCCCCCCCCCCCCCC